CCCCCAGGTTAAGCCTTCGGGTGAGGCATCTGTTGCTCTGGACTGCTAGACATTTGTGAAAGACCTTCAGCCAGAAATCATACAACTCTACTGGCTCCAAGTTTCTGAGATTAAAAAAAAGAAATATTTTACGTTGTTGGTTTTTGAAATATGTACTCTCTTATTCCTGTGTATGTGTGTGTGCCTGCATGAGTTAATGTGCCCCACGTTTGTGCAGAGGCACTCAGAGGCCAGAGGGCATCAGATCCCCTGAAACCAGAGTCGCAGGTGAATGTGAGCCTCCTAATATGTGCAAAGATCCAGATACAGGTCCCCTGGAGGAGCGGTAAGCGCATGAGTTGCCAGTTTTTAGAGCAGTTACGCAGGCATAAGATAACTAACTCAGCAGGTACATGTAGATGAGGGAAAGGGTCTAAGGTGTTGGGTAGCTTTCCACAGCAGCTCAAAAAACTGGACTATGACACACTCTATGTCAGCGGTTCTCAACCTTCCTAACGTTGTGACCCTTAAATACAGTTCCTCATGTTGTGGTGACCCCCCCCCCACACCGCAAGATTATTTTCATTGCTACTTCAGAACTGTAATTTTGCTACTGTTATGAATCATGATGTAAACATCTGTGTTTTCCAGCGGTCTTAGGTGACAACTGTGAAAGGGTCTTTTAACAACCCCCACCAACGGGGTTCAGAGCCAATAGTTTGAAAACCACTGTGCTATGTCATGCCTCTGTGTAATGCCCAAAAGCATCTTTTGGTGAAGGAATTTTGCTGCAAAGATTATTTTGTTTTCTTGTTAAGCGTGTTTATCATTAACCTCCTTGAAAAGAACACTGTGATCAGTCCCTGTGCTGGCTCTGAAAAGTGAATTCTCAAGGAGGGCTTTTTAGCCTTGAACACTTTTCTGATTGTTACAGGGGAGTCCTGGGGATGATATATTAAGAAGCATTATTTATATACTTTCCTGCCTTAAAACAAACAAACAAACAAACCAACCCTGTTCTAGCCAGGCAGTGGTGGCACATGCATTGAATCCCAGCACTCACTTGGGAGGTGGAGGCCAGCCTGGTCTACAGAGAGCTTGTTCCTGAAGAATGAGAGCTACACAAGGAAGTCCTGTCTCCAGCCGCACACGCACACAGTTCTAATGTTCTGATTACCAGCATGCTTTTTACATTAGTTTATTTCGTGTGTGTGTACCTGTGTCCTCGTGTGCACTCCTGTAGGTGCCAGGAGACACTTGTACAGGGTCAGAGAGCAACTTGGGGATCGAGGTCAGAGGTCAGGTTGTTAGGTTGCAAGTACTTTAACCTAATGAGCCATGTCAGAAGCCTTTTCCTTTTTTAAACACTAAAGGTTCATCGGTTTTGTCAATATTCTCCTCCTCCCTCTTCCCCTCCCCTCCTCTCCTCTCCCTTCTCCCTTTGCTTTCCAGACTCAGCTAGTGCTCCTCCTCGGCTGCAGTGATCCTCTCTGGCTTTGGCTTCCTGAGCAGCTGGGAAGGCAGGTTTGTGCCCCACCACACGCAGCTTCGGCTGCTGTTTGACCAAGTGTCACCAAGATCACCTGTTTAATAAGACTTGCTTCCTAGAGGTTTATCATATTCTGCATTAGCCTGTTGGTCAGCTGCTCTCCAGAAAACATCAGACGTGTAAATCAAGAGTTCTCATTGTTACGACAGACTCTTGGTCAATGATTTACTGTAGCTTTTTTTACTGAGTTTAAAAGGTCAGTAGTTGGACTGTAGAGACAGTTGAGCAGGTTAGGGCACTTGCCACCAAAGTTGACAATGGGAGTTCAATCCCTGGGAAAACAGGGAATTGATTTCTTAAAGTTGTGTTCAGATGCCCACATGGGCACTGTGGCATGAAAAAGCTCCCTCATAGATAGATAGAAGATAGATAGATAGATAGATAGATAGATAGATAGATAGATAGATAGATGTGATTTTTAAAGAGCACAGTGCTTTTGGGCATAGTATCGCACACCTTTGATCTCAGCACTTAACAGACAGAAGCAGGCAGATCCCTGAGTTCAAGGCTAACCTGGTCTACACATAGAGAGTTCCAGGCTAGCCAGAGAAACAATGAAGCCAATCTCAAAACAAAAACAAACAACAAAACAATCAAGAAACTAAAAACATAGCACTAGACATTTTGTTTAATTAAGTTTCATACAACTTGTTTAAGCTCCTGACCCATTTCTAGGAGTTGATAAGTGTAACAATAAAATTTCAAGTTTAGCATTTAATGTACATGAAACAATACATCATATTAACTACATTCTTTAAAAATTACTGCATTCACTTTGTGTGAGTGCATGTGTGGAGTGGTGCCTGTGGGCCATGGGCCACGTGTGGAGATCAAAGGACAATTTTGGGAAGTCAGTTCTCTTCTACCATGTGAATCCTGGCTATTGAATTCAGGCTGTGAGCCCTGGCAACAGTCTCACGTCAAACACATCCTCATTACTGGCTATTTATTGAGATAATCTGTAGCACCAATACATTCTGAGAAAAAAAATTTTTTTTTGGCCAGTTGTGGTGGCCTGTGATCCCAGCACTCAGGAAGCTAAAGTTGGAGGCTTCTTGTCTGTTTGAGGCCAGCCTGGCCTACTGGACAAAAACAAAAAGCCCAGGTGGGCTTCAAATGTCCACGTGCTGGGATCACAGGCATGCAGCATCTGGTCTAGCAAACAACCTAAAAGTTTTGTGTGTAAGTGCAAGCTCATGCGTGTGGGGTGACTATGCATGCATGTGTGTGTGCAAGCCTGTGGAGGCCAGAGGACGGCCTCTCCTGTTGTGACTCAGGTGCTGTTCACTCATTTTAAAAAAAAATTAGAGCAGGGTACTGGTGGTGCACGCCTGTAATCCCAGCACCGGGGGAGGCAGAGGCAGGAGGATCTCTGTGAGTTCCAGGACAGCAGAGCTACATGGAGAAATCCTGTCTTGGACAAAAAAAAAAAAAAAAAAAAATTAGAGATTTATTTTTACTATTTAAAAATTATGTTTATGTGTGTGTTTGTATGGGTATGTAAATCTGAGTACAGGCACCCACAGAGTCCAGAAGAGGGTGTCAGATGCCTTGGTGCTGGAGTTACAGGTGATAGTAAGCTCCTTGAGATGGGTGCTAGGAATTGAACTCGGGTCCTCTGGAAGAGCAGACAGTGCTCTTAAGCACTGATCCGTTTTTCCAGCCCCCCTCCCTTTTTTGGGATTAAAGTTGCTCTTACTGAGTTGGAACTTGTTAAGCAGGCTAGGGTGATTGGCCAGTGAGCTTCAGGATCTGTCTGTTTCTGCCTCTCCAGCACTGGCATTACAAACCTGTGCTACTATGTCCAGCTTTTTAAAAAATTTTTTGAGACAGCATCTCTCTGTTATGAATCCCTGGTTGTCATGGAACTCACTATGTAGACCAGGCTAGCCTTGAACTTGCAGAGATCCACTTGACTTTCCCCATCACCCACTTGTCTAAGACACATTTAAAGTTTCCCAACTAAATGGCTTATTCACCTTTTTGAACCCACAGGCTATTGAGCTCTTGGGGTTCAAGGTACACAAGAAATGACAAAAGCTCATACCCACTTAATTTTACTTTTAGGCTGAATTTAACACTGACAAGCTTATGTGCAGCGTCCTACTATCCAGAATTTAGACTGAGAACTATAATCAATATTTATGAATGACTAAGTCATTCTGGTATATATATATATATATATATATATATATATATATATATA